TAGTGAAATCAAATATTTAAAAACAAATTTAATATATTTTTTAATTAAAACGCAAACAACAAATAATCCCTAGTCAATAGTAAATTCATTATAAGTAAATGATTGTTTCTTTTTTTTTTTTTTTTTTGTTTTTTTTTTTAAAAGTGGAAAAATTTTTAAAAAAAAAAAAAACAATTTGTTCTTGATGAATAAAAAAAGTTGAATTTAATGTTTGTTTTTTATTTTTATTTTTTTTTTGCAATTTTTGGCAAATATAAATAATTATTAGAAAATTTGTTAAACGTTTTTTTTTTTTTTTTGTTTATTGTTAACCAATCGTTATATTTTGAATTATTATTATAAACTTTTTTTATCAGAAATGTTTTTATTTTTTAATGTTAAGTTTTACTTTTTTATTTATTTTTGTTTTTGTTTTTTTTTTTTTTTTGATTATGTAAATAAAAACCAGAAGAGTTATAAAATACAATTTTACTTCTTTTACTCAAACAGCAAAATTGCTAAAAACACACACACACACACATAGACACTATTCGCATGTTAATCCTGTTTACAAGAATCCGCCTTGATCATGCCGTTGCAACAATGGGTCCTTTTAGAAATATATGCTGTCTGTCAATGCCGAAACCTTTCCAATATTCAAAGTACAGTTTTCGGAGCGTTTATGCCTACGGTTATCATGAGAGTGTCATATTAATTTTCTTGAAGTGACGGTCATCCTTAAGTTACGAAGGGTCTCTATACGGCTTTGGTCTTTAGTTGGCAATGCGTCTGCCATTTGAGCTACCAGTTACAATTGTTACATCGATATGGTTAAAGGAATCCAAAAACAATGTCTCTTGTTTGCCTCGAGAGGATTACAATGGGTTACTAATAGAACATTAGCTTCCTACGAACAGAGTTTACTTTTGATCGATATACTTACTCTTGAACATAGAAGGTTGGTTCTTGGAATAGAGTTATCAGCGACATTTATTCCGGGTGATATTTCGACACCAGTCTTGATTGCAATATTCCTACAAGGGTCTCAAGGAATGTCATCAGTGTACGAGTAATTATAAACTATTTTCTCCGTTTCGGGTTCTTTGTAAACAATTTAACGAGTTTTATTATATATTTTTGACGAACGATTCAGGCGATTATGTGAAGCCAATCTTGGCTAATTTACGTTATTAAGAATACGGCTGAACAGAGGGCGAATCCTTAACTCCCGTGATTTAATTTTTTGCAATATAAGTATTATTTTAGACTTATAAGGAATGTACTGTTCATTTCGATTGTTTAGTTGGTTTAACCTATAATTCTGGCTACTAAGTGATGGGTTTAACTTTGCTTATCAGGCGTACTTTAATATTTTTCATGTTTGACTTTCAATATTTAAACATTTTTGTTCATATTATTTGGTTAAGCTGTTGTCTTGTGTTTGGCTGTAGCAGCTAATGGTATATTTAAATATATAAACAAAATAGACTGGACTAACCATCTAACCTACCTTTAAAAAGAAAAAAACGAGTCAATAGTTTTGCTTACTAATGCTCATATTACTTTTAAACCGTATATCACTTACAGTACATGGTTATAGTTTTAAGACTCTACACTAAGTCCTTCTGGGTGTTGCATAGATCCGAACAAATAAAAATGTGGCCTTGTGCCTTGCCTTGTAATTTTCTTCTTTTTTTTTTAAAGAAAGCTCTGTGAAAAAGCATCGTTTTCTTCCTAGATTTACGATATTAGAAATGAAGATTTTCCCTAATATGTATATGTGTGTGTAATTTTGTCTTGACTTTGTTTGACATTTTTACGAATATCGAGTATTTTTTTTATCTGTATCAACAGCCAATTACTATGAGAAAGCTTTTCTGCCATTAAAATTTTAATTGCATATGTGTCTATATGTCCGATAAGAACGGAATAAATTCAAGACATTTCATCTTACGATAAACCCCTTTTCATAAACCAACAGCACTTTCTGAGAAAATAGTTCGTGCTTGGCAATGCCGTGACTCTAAGCTAAATATCAAAGACAAGAGAGAAATTTTCTTCATAGCCTTTACATTATGTATATAAACCGTGAATGGCAATACTGCAAGTATCCGGCTCTCGCCTCTTGCTGTTGCTGTTAAAGTGGTACTGCGTGTGGTTGTTGTTGCAAATTGTAATTTTTGTTTACATTTGCCATGCACGTGCTATTGTTTACATTTGAAAAATGTGACCATATGTGGTTGTTGTTTTAATTCTTCTATCGCGTGTTACAAATGCATGCAATAAATTCTGTACTCTGTATGGCTGTTATTGCATTTTGCGTATATATACCTATTTTTTACATTCCAGTCTAAAGAATTATCATAATTTTTATAAATATAACTGTTAACCTTGTTATTATTATTGTTAACCTTTAAAAAATAATATTTTCGTTTTTATTTTTTATTTCACTTTTGCTAAAAATTGTTTCCTTTCTTGCGAAATAATTATGCGGATTCGAAGAGCATAGTAGAATGAGTTTGAGAAATCTAGTCAAGATATTATATCGCTATAAAACGCAGATTCGTTTGCTATCAGAAAAACAATTTTCATAATTATTTTAACAATTATTTTGATTCTTTAAAATGATTTATGAAAGAGAAAAGATAAGAGAAAGAGAGAAAGGTTGTGATGAAACGAATTTACGGCACTTAGAATTGTTTCGGAAGGAAATTTAAAAAAATCCGATAAGCATGACACTTAAGATGGGCGACTTGTGGCATAGGTAAAAATTGCAGCTTTCCAGTGACATTTCATTTGAACGTTCCTCGTGATATGGTCGCGCGCCTCCTATGTAGTTTAACAAATGATTGTGTTAATAGCATAGCGATAGTTGTGAATTTATAAAAAAGTGATAATATTCACCTAATATCTGATAAGAATTTATTGAAGCATATCAATGACAAGCTAAGTTGATTAAGAGAGTTAACTGCAAAATGTCAACGCCACTGTTAAGGTGAGCAAATGAAATTCATGTTATAAGTGAAAGTATCTTTCACATAACTATGCCAACGAATAAGGGAAGACACATAATTAGATGGTCACCTTTGCTTATAAGAGACGCGCATCTTATTGTAAAACAGTACATTTTATGGAAAGTTTACAACAAGTCAACACTTTTTTATTACTACAAGGAACACTTGGTATACATAAAACAAAATTATTATCAATCAATGAAAAATGAAAATCTTTAACATTTGTTGTTTGTTTGTTTGTCTTTGGTGCGAGAAAAGATGAGCAAAGTAATCTCGCTTTATTGTTATCCTTTTGGTGTATTTTGTAAGCCGTGAACATTTCGGCTAAGCAATGATAGTTTAATAAAGAAATTGTTCTACCCATGATAGTTTGCTTATGGATCTGTCTTAATAAGGAAGCGGTAAAACACTATGGGTAATAAAGTGAATTTGCCTTTCATTTTTTTCTCTTTAAAACCCTTAAATTAATTGTAAAGATCAGCTGAAGAGATTTGATCTGTTTCTTTTCGGGTTATCCGTTTTTTAATCAGAACTTGCGAAGTGAAGACGAGAAAGCTCTCGCTTATCCTACAATTATTACATTATTGAACCAGAAAGAACGAGAAGTTATGCACGGTTTATATAAAACTTTTTGAAATTTGAAAACTTGCTACCGTTTGCTGTTTTTTAGGAAATGCAAGTGTTTTTTCTTCCCCTTCAAGATCTCTTTCTAAACTTGCAAAGCCAATAACAGACGAGATACCAAGAGCAGTAGGCTACCATGAAATAAAAATCCTTGATCACTAATACTGGAGGAAAAAGTTCTATGGTGCGTATTTCTGAGTGCGAAAAATAAGCGAAGGATAAGCGAAAAATCGTATAAATCTATAGATTGAAGTTTTCCGTTTCTTTGGAGATAATCTCAGCTAATAGCTGGTGTGTCTACAGGACATATAAGGTATTAGCTCTCAACCATCCGTAAGAGTAGCCAAGTAGGTAAGAATCGCATCTACCAAGTCAGTGTTTGCGGGTTCAAATCTCAGTTCGGTAAAGTTTACTTTGGTTGTAACTATAGTGAGTCCTTAGTAGCTAAAGGCATAACGCGCACTCACACTGGATTGCGGTTATCTCCTTGTCTCTTTCCTTTCCTTCACTTCTTTCTTATGACCATAATCGCGCAACACGTGTAGATGGCATCCCCGGAGTGATTGATCAGGGATATTAAAAAAAAAAGCACCTTTGCCGACCACAACAAGCCGTTTATTTGCAATGGTTTCTATTGCTCGCCAGTGATAGTTTCTTTGCGTTGGAAAAGCTCCTAGCTACTCTATCGTCAGAAATTAGTGGGCAACGGCCTAAACAGCTTGACACTGTGGAACTAAAGGTTTGCCCAACGTGCCAACGTGATTTGTTGGCACTTTGCACTAACGTAGGGTATCCCGACTGTATAACACGACCTCTCTTTGATTTGTAAACAATTTCATATGTTTTCTCTTAAATTCGCTCTACCTCCCATTGATTGTTCGTCACGATTAATTTTTGACATACCAACGGTAGAAAGTGGGCAAATAATCAGAGTTTCGAATGTCGATTTCTCCATTCAAGCTGAACAAGAATTCTTCGTGAAGCTTGGTGTTCGTCTATGCTATAAAATTTCAGTTAAACCGAGAACGTTATTCCCAATGGCCTCTTCTTTCATTGCTTAACGGTTAGAGCGACCGACGGTTAAGGTCAGGATAGTTAGAAAGGATTGACTTTCAAGTATTAATTATTTATCCTTGTAGTTTTCATTTTTCATCGTACGATTAGCTGACATTAGTGTAACTAGTTTTTCGTTTCGCTCAAGATTTGTAGAGCAGTCTGGGTTTTGATTTTTACATCAAAAATTGAATTTTTCAAATCTTCAAAATCTATTATTTATATAATGTTATAGGATTTTTTTTACGCATTAGAAGTAATAAAATATTTAAAATAATTTAGGAAAAATAAGAATTTTTAAAATTTTTTGTTAAAATTAATAAATTGAAAATGAGTTATTATGGGCATGGTAACAGTCACGACGATGACGATGACGATGATGATGTTGATGGTGGAAGTGAAGAAAGTGAGAGCGAGCCTTGCGCGAAGGTGCCGCGCTTACAGCTATGCACACTCAGGCCGGCGACAGGGGTGGCGAAGAATCTCTGCGACTTACCATCCGAAATATTAGAAAAGATAATCGGTTATGTGAACATTTGGCATCACAATCGGATACGTGCCACTTCGAAGCGTATGTGTTACATAACTGACTTGTTCATTACGCATGAATTCCAAAAAGCTCTAAAACGAAACTCGGAGGCAAATCAGCGCAGTTACAAAAGCGCTGCTCTAAGAGGTATAAAGTTGGCTACAGAAGTTTATGTGAAATTTGGCTTCGAAACTTTGTTTTGTGGTTGTATGTTGCCCATGTTGCGTAGCTGTTACAAGGATCCGTTTTGTCCTGCGACGCAAAGTATTCAAAAATTTTTAATTAATTTTTACAAATGCATTGACAATCGGCTCGGCAGTACGCAGGAATTCAATCTATTGTATGTTTTGACTTTTCTACGTTTATTAAAGGCGTTCCGTTCATTCCACATAGCATCGTCTTGTGTTGGGATTTCAAAATGGAGATGTGTTATAGAATTGAAAGGACCCTGGTTGGGTGTTTTATGGACTTCGAAATCGCGATTCCAATCGAAATCTGAAGACCATACTAAAATATTAATTATGATGACAGAATTGCTGTTAGCTGAAATCTCTAACGAAGCGTTCAGGCGAGTTAGTAATTGTGATAATGAGATCTGTATATTTGGTTATGATACCAGTGCTAATAAGCGTTGCCCAAAAACTCAATTCGCTTTTGCCGTTCATGGTACCAAGCAAATATGGTCATTGCTTCGCTCTTGTCTTGAGGAGAATGACGAAAAATTCAAATGGCCCTCATTATGGCCTAAAGATGAGTTCATGTTCGATTTGGAAATTCACAGTAAAGAAGCCATGAAATGGGGATGCTCTGAAAAGAAATGCGTAGAGATGGGCCTTTCGATAGAAGGTTGCTGCGACAGCACCCGTAGTGTAGAATCTCATTAATGGCATATCTGACCGCTTAAAAACTAATGTAGTGTAAAAAATTAATTTAGTGTAAAAATTTGATTAGGTGTTAGTGTTAATAAACCTCTTTAATGTAATCACTTGCTATTATTCACACTAAGGGCCTGAATGAAGTATCATGGTAATCATATTCCTTTGCACTGGGGCTGACCGTAATGGAAGTAAAAGGTGTGCACATGTTTGCGAGAGTTTAATAATCAACGGAGTTATATCAGCTACATCTTGGATGTGGAACCCTTTGAAGTTATTGTTCTTTTCGTAGCATTCCATCGAATTTTAATTGATTCCTTTTCTTTTAATTTTTTTTTTTTTTTTCCAAGCCCGAAGTAAGCAGAACGCAAAGCAGTCCAAGATATATTCTGCTGATAATATCGGCAAGTACACGACAGAGCGCCGTTAAAGCCTATATATATATATATGTATTGCATATCGTCGATTAGCATTCAACAATCAAAGCGTGCTCGTTCCTGTTGCTGAAAGGTTTCTCTTTTTGTTGGTTTCTGCTGGCCCCGAGCTATGTTCAAATAGAAGATTATGATGATGGGGCATGTAAACTGAACTTGGCCGCTTTTGTTAAGAACAAATTTGACCATTGGACAGTACCGGGAGAAAGTGTGTGTTGAACTAAAAACCAGAAAGTCGTTGAGTCGAAATTTGTACTGAAAGTCGAAAACAACTGAAAGAGAGCTTCTTTCCTTGACATGGTTTTAGAGGTAATTTGGAACAATTATAATCACCTCGTAGTGAACATTAGGAATCGTCCTCCGAATCAAAGCGATTGCTCACGCAAGAGATCTTTGAGCCAAATACGCTCTAAACTGCTTATAGGTTATATAGAGCTTGCTAAGGCGGATGCATAAGTTCATCTTTACCTATTATGCCTTTTCAGCAGGAAAATGTTGTTGGAGTGAATTAATTGTTAAAATTTCCGTTGACTTGTTGGAGCTTTTTTTTTGAACGTGAGCTGGCGCTAACTCTCGGACAGTTTTGTATTCTCACGGTTTCGAGTTATTTTTTGTTTGTGTCTTATTTTCGTAAAGATTTGTGAAAAACAAGTCGTTGAGCATACCCTACACTCCTTCTAACGTAACGTTACATTAAATGTGTGTGGTTGTAAGCAATACCCAGGAGGAATTATGATAAGACTCATATTTTATTACATCGATTCCGTACTACGCTTATCCGTCTCTCTAAGCCCCTTTCACGCCCTGTTCGTGCTTACTTTTGTTCAACCTATTCGTCGTTATTTTTGAGATAATTTGACGAAAATTCGACGTGTTTTGGCCCAAGCAAGAACACTATCGAAAGTGGTTCGGGTCAGAACGCCTTTTCGACGCCGTTTTTTGAAAAATCGTTGTATGAATAACTGCAAGACCGTGTTTGACACTTTGGTTAGCCTGCGACCATTTACTTTGACACTTTCACTGTTTAGCCTGAGTGATTGTTTATCAAATTTGTCGAATTCAAAAAATAAAAAGTTTAATGAGTTACAGTTATATCTAAGGGCGACTTGAGACAATTGTCCAGTGCTTTCTAAATTAAAATTTTTTTTGCATTAGAGCTCTTTTCGTTTACTGTTGCATGTATATATGTTTTTTTTGGGGGAAGGAGCGAAGAAAACAATTACAGTTACGTTGAATAATGGCGTTACAAACGGACGAAAGTCCCACCGACCAATGTTAGAAAAAAACGGTCGTTGTGAACCATCGTCCGGTCGCACCGTACCATTGTAACTAAACAATATTTATCGAGTGCGGCGAATATAACGGTAGACTTACATAAAAGCACATTTAATATTATCGTTTCTTTCTTATGACGCATTTGTTTCAAATTGTTAATCGTAATGGATTTGTTCCCATCTATCCGGCATCCTCTTCATAGTCATTCATTCATTCATTCATTCATTCATCTGTTCACCTACAATATAATACAAATTTTAACTTGCACAAATAAGTAAACAGGCGAACCCACATAAAGAGTCACTCGCCCATATGCACGGGCCCGCACAGATACATGTACACATACACACACACAAACATGAATAGCGCAGTGATAAGCGCATATGTATATTTATAATGACTGAAACTTGTATAAATAGAAGTAAACATTTATCAATGAAGCGGATATAGTCATTTTGAGACGACGAGACAATTTATTTTTGCCATATCATGTGTTGACTGGTTGCTGACTGACTAAATGTCTGTCCAAGCATTTGCCTGATTGATTAAACATTTGATTGTGGAACGCTTGACAACAATAACAAAAACGAAAGAAAGAGATAGATAGCTAGAGTAACATAATATAGATTCATATAGGTAACGATATATATGAATGTATATATATGTATATATATTTGTGTGTCTGTGTGTGTGTGTGTACATGGGTATGTTACATTGTTTGTGTATAGAGTAAAATCAAAAAGCCATTAGAAAATCAGCATCAGTTACCATGATATATCAATAAGGATGATGTTATGCTGCTGACTGACGATGACGATACAAAGTCAGTTAAATAGTTTCGCTATAAATGGATGATACTGTCTGTAAGTGCTTGCATATGTGTGAATGAATGTATGTTTGTGTATTTTTCAGATACAACATTTGTGTATGCAAGCTGTTCCTTGTTGATGTTCAAGTTGACGTTATATATATATATATATATTGTTGCCGTTGTTGTTGATGTTGTTGTTGATGTTGTTGTTGTTGCAGTTGTTTCTAGCTAGTTAGTTATGCCGTAGCTGTTATCTGCTCTTGCTGCTGCTGCTGCTGCTGCTGTTGCTGCTGTGTCTTGTTACTTCTGTTATTTTTACTCTTTTGTAATATTGATACATAATTTATGATCTGCAAAATTGATACGAACATGAAATGTTAAATTTTAACTAATTTTAAAAAAATTAAGCAAAAAAAGACGAAAAAATAAATAAATAAAGCGAATATAAACAACGGAGAGCAAACTGATAGCTAGATGAACAGAAGATGTTAGTATTTGTTCTTCTGCAAGCAATGCTTAAATAATCGTCAATCAATATGTTAGCAAATGAGAATTTAATGAATAATTCCTTAAAAGAAAAAAAAAAACGAAAAGAAAAGCAAAGAAAAGAAAAAAGAAAAGCGAGACAAAATAAACAACAAAGTCTCAAAAAGCAAATAAGAAACAAGTGGAAATATTAAAAATCATTTATTGATTTATACGCTTTAGTAGTTTAGCGAACTGCAATAAAAGAAATGCCGTAAGTGCTAAACGTCGAAATAAAAACGTACACAAAATTTAATGGCTCACGGAAATGGCAAATAAATCTTAAACTGCTCCGGCATAAATATTTGTTGAAATTACTAAAATACACATACAAGAGGGAATTTCAAGCACTTTTTCTTCATTTTTTCTATACAAAAAAAAAAAAAAAAAAATATTTCGAATTGTTTATGTGTTTGCTAAGAACGAAAAGCGAACAATTGTTGAGAATTGATAAGTTTTGAAATTAATGAATTTTTATTAAGCGCTTTAGCGAAACACTTTGATAAGATGTTTATTTGCCAGAAGAGGGTAACGCTTGGCTTGAGACTTCTAATATACGTTTTTTCATCAATAACAACAAAAAGCGCTATAGTGGGCTACAGATTGTTACTAGCTGCAGATATTATTAATACGACCTTTCAAAATAGGGCGTTATGTGGAAAGTAAGCGAGAAAGGGATCTAATCCTAGCCATTTTCGCGCAGCGCACAACGATGTACCAAATTTTATCAAAAAATACCTTAAAAATTGCGAGCTGTAGGTTGAGTACAAACATTGGACAAACAGACAGACATTGGTCGATTGGTAAAATAAAAGTTGAGTTTATCCCAAGTCTTTCTGGTTGTTGCATACCACCATCCACAGAAGCTCAATATACTCTTTTACCACAACTGATATAAGTTATAAAAATGAAATATAGAAATCGATTCAGAAAGCGATTTTCCTTCGATCGATAAAATAAAAGGAGGGGTCTGTCCTAAAGCCTTCCGGGTGTTGCATACATCCGCATAAACGCAACATACCTTGGTGTAAAGTATAAAAATGGAAAAAAACATTCAAAATTTCAACTTATCAAGTCAATGCCAGCTGAAAGATGGCTGATGAATACCAGATCCTCAGCAACTTCAGTCAGTAAAAAGTGCTAAGCCGTAATACATTTGTTTTTCAATATATTCTTTCTTGAATTTGATGAAAGCATTCATCCCTGGTTCTGTCCAAGTCATCTGCAATAAATTCTTCATTTGTTTAAAAATGGAATTCGGGAAGACAGCTTCACCTTTAAAATTCAAATGATTTTTATCTTTGCGCCGCGGACTCTAAATACTTGACTTTAGTCACGGACTTCATATTTTATACACATGACAAGGACGAAGAGATAAGTAATTAAAGATCCCTTGTCACAATCAAGTGTAATGATTTTTTTCCTGTGTAACTAAGCAAAAGCACAACACGTTACCAGTCAGTCGAAAACTTCATAGCCTGACATATGTCTGTCTAATGTATCTTGCGGTAAACGTAGAAGTTGTTTGCATTACTTTGCATACTTCATGTCGAACTAATATTCGGCTCAAATAATTGTTTAGTTTATTTGTGAAATCTGAATTAACTGAAATTTGATGCCATAAGTAAACATTTACGAATCAAAGGCTTGGACGGTTAAAATATTGTTAAAAATTAGAGAAGGACTGCTTTATACGCGACGGGCTCTAGGATCCTAACGTTCAAAAGATCCAAACACTTGTACACTAGCAGTCACTAGAAAAATTGTTTTTGATTTCCTTTGATTATTTGTTGTTGATTCACTTCAAGCCGACTACTATATATTATATGTGTGAGACGTGATGATAAAGCTATGGCCGTAACATCTGTACAATAATCGTTAATTTCGAATTGAAAGTTGCTTTGTTCTTAGAAAATCAAGTCGACTATAGCCATCGCTTTCAGCCTATGGATATAATTTGTTTA